CTGGCCCACAGAGAGCAGCAGACCTCTCCAACCTCTCCCGCTGCTCCCTTCAGCAGTGTGTTTCAGTTGATCTACCTGTCCTGCTCTCCACTCTGTCTCTGGTGAATCCTCTCACCTCCTCCTCACCCCCACCTGCACATCTGGCCTATACCCCAGTTCTTGTATGCATAAATAAATAAATCTTTAAATAAAATAAAATTGGGAAATAGAATTTCCTGATACCTTTTGAAATATCTTTGGGTATCTGAGTAAGTGACTAAATCTGGATTAAGACTCTCAAATCCAGAGACACATTGCACACATTTTGCTCTTAAATATTTTTAGTTCTGTGTTGTGTGATAAGCGTTACACCTAGATTTATTATACTTAACTCTATGTTTTCTTTCTTTCTTTGTATTTTAGATGGAGCAGATTAAAAGGGCAAACAAACTGTTTACCAATGATTGTATATTTCTGAAGAAGACTTTGAACATCCCAGTTATATCAGAGAAACCTTTGCTGTTCAATGGACTTAATTCAATAGATTCTCCAGAAAATGAAGCTGTTGGTAGCAGTTTTTCTCATGAAGAAGAGTCAGTGGCACCTGGGGAAGACCTCTCTCCTGCCAGTCATCATGAGTCTGATGCTCAGCCTGTGGAGCCTGAGGAAGTATCAGCCAGAGACTTCCTACAGAGACTAGACTTGCAGATTAAGTTATCGACACAGGCAGCTAAGAAGCTGAAAGAAGAGAGCAGGTAAAAAAGCCCTGGTAAGGCCCTCCCTGGTGGTGCAGCAGGTTAAAGCACTGCATTAAGAAGCTAAAGCCACTTCCGCATGAGTTAGATCCTGCCTGCCCCAGAGGTGACCACATGCTGCGGCAGACCTCTCCTGACTCGCCCGCCCGCTGCTCCCCTCAGCAGTGTACTTCATTGATCTGCCTTTTCTGCTCCCCACTCTCTCTGGTGAATCCTCTCACTGCCCCTGCATCTCTGGCCCATTCTCCAGTACTGTATGCACAAATAAATAAATCTTAAAAAAAAAAGAAGCACTGGTAAAATCTCAGGAGCTGAATAAGTCACTGTGACTGTGCCCTTGCTTGGCCAAGTTTTTTTTCTTTAAAAACTACATTTTGATTCTAGAAAGGCATTTTTAAATATACAGAGTCTAGACGGTATTATTTTACATAAGGCTTTACCTGTTATAAAGCTTTTGTCTCTGTCATTTATTATAAAAAAAAACTATTTCTTTGCTCTCATATTATAACTGTCTAGCCAGCAATTCTGGATAAGTAGAAACATCTAATTGGCACCTTCAAAGGAAACAATGTTCTATAAAACACCGATCCTTCTAAAATTTGTCATTATGTATTACCTGATATTTCTGCATGAAATCTCATGTGAATTCTTTGCTTTTTAATTTGGTACTAGTGTAAACCCTTTTGTCTCCCATAGAATTGGTTCCTTTCTTCTTTTATGACTCTAAAAATGGTACAATCTATCGTGCTTCCTTTTTGCCCTGGTTACCAGGATGCTTACAACTAAAACTGATCCTTAGTTCAAGTACTGTAGTATTTGTTGCGGTTAATATATTTGTATACTTTACCTTTCCTTTGTCCTGATTTTTTATTCATCATTTATATGTATGTGCTGTGTTATGGGTACCTCAAATTCTTTTGAGAAAAGTAAAATACAAAAACCCAAGCAAATATACATATGAATATTATTTATAATTTAATATGCTTCATTTAAGTGTAATTTAAACAAATACAAGTTTATAATGAATACCGTTCTTTATCTGAGAACTGAGATGCCAGTAAAATGGAAACAAAGTACACTTTAATGAGTATTTACATTTCATACAACTTTCAAGGCCTGCAAGCTTTTATTAAGTTGATACACTCTTACCTTTCTGCAAGTGGATATTAAATTGTATAATAAATATATGTATTAGTTTTTCTGAATAGTTTTTAAAACATTGATTTATGAATACAGCTTTTAAACATTGACTTATGCTGTTTATTTTTTTTTTCTCCCAGAGATGAAGAAAGTCCCTATGCAACTTCACTCTATCACAGTTAGGTGATCAGAGGGCATAATCTAACTGGATTAAGAGATAGTTGAATTATAAAGAAACCAACAACTGAAGATTCAAAAGCATTCCTTTTGGATTCTCACTGGACATATTTTTAAATTACAATTAAGAAGTTCTGCCTATTGCAATTGCACTGAAGTGATTAGTCCCTGCTGGCTTTCTATAATGTTAAGTCTTTATTATGGCATGATTGCAAAATTGTATCCACAAGCTCACCACTTTTGTACTGGTGGTAGTTTTTAGACTAGCTTTTGTAAATACTAGTTGATATGGAGTATGAAAGATTATTTACATATTCAAGCTAAAAACAGTGTTTATCTTCTGAGAAGTCCTAATTATGTGAAAAACATGGTTGCTAGTTAAGTGATGCTGATTTTGCTATGTGTTTATAACTTAAGTGCTATATATATATATATTTCGGTATGTATTACATTTTCTGTATTATTATGAAGAACCAAATTTTGTTTGCTATTTTGTAAAAATAAACTACAAGAGTCTGAATGAGAAAATAAACTATGTTTTCATATTCGAGTCTTCAGTTATTTTCTGCAATAGGAAAATAAATTGACTTTTAAGTTATATATTTGAAATAGTGATCATTCTTCACTTTTATAGCATTTATTATAATTGACTTTTTGAAAAAAGTTTATCTACGCATGTTCACAATATTTCACGTAAAATATGTCAGATGTAAAATTTTCTGGGACCCCTTTTCCCCCAAACTAGCAGGTAAGCGGGCAAGGCTGTCTTTAGTAGTTATATCCTAAATGCAGAAATCTGCTACCTGAAGGTGAAGTCAGTTTTTTTTTTTTTTTTTTGAAGTCAGTTTTTTCAAATTAGGTTTTAACTGATTGAAAAGATTTAACAATGGGTACCCAGGTTTTGTATCTTTGCAGTGCATTCTTTAAAATGTAAGAGATTAAATCCTGTCTTGCCTTTTTCATCTGCATTATTTTAGATTAGGACTAGAAGTCACTCCTATGAAAAATAAATAAATTTTAAATGTCAATAATTCACAATGCCTACCTATATAAACTAAATTCAAACATGCTAATTAGAATAGCTCTCACAGAGTAAATCTATTGAACTACTTCCAGGATTCAGATCTTACTGTCTATGAGGCTTTATTTCCAGTTAACACAAATATAGTGGAAACATGAATTATGATCCAAAGAAAGATGTTATGATCTGACACTCTAAAATGTATTGATGTCACTTTAGATAGATAGATAGATAGATAGATAGATAGATAGATAGATAGATAGATAGATAGATAGTTATCACTGTACTCATTTGAATTGAGTTAGGTTTTTACTCACAAAAATTTGTCTTTTGTATATACATAGGTTGTATCAGTAAACTTTAAGCAATATATTATTTACAGTTAAATTTGGGGGGGGTGTCTTGATTTCTTGTTGAGTATCAGGTTAAATACATCTTTAAACTTCCATAAAATGTCATGTATTTACCCCACCCTCTCCTCCATCCCCAAAGGAGTCTGCTTTCTGTGGGTCAAAAGGACCTTTGTTCCTAGTCCTTTCTGTCTCTTTTTCCTTTCCTCATTTCCCTCCTTCATTTGCCTCTCTGGTCTTGCTCTGAACAGGGAACAAGTGTTTCCTGCCTGTGGTGTTAATGCAGCAAAGCTTGCAAAACTGGACCAGCACATTTCAGCCCTTGGACTGATCATCAGGTATGTGAATGGGAAGTCTATCCTTTCTTGAATTTCTTGCTGGTTCATAACATACATAATCCCTTGTATTTTGTTTGTTTTTTGTTTGTGTTGTCATGATAATAGCTCAGACTATTGTCATTTTCTTCTGATGTTAGCAGTAACTTCAACATAGGATGATCACTTTGTTATTTCTTGTATCTGAACTTTGGCAAGTTAGTTGAAGGAGGGGAAAGCTTTAAAAAAAAGAAAGGGAAGTAGTTGTATATGTAAGAAAAAGCTCAGGCTTTGGTGGATTCTGGGGAACTTTAAAAAATGTAGCATTATCATGCCTTTTAACCTGAAGTAATTAGATATTTGATAGTAATCCAAAAGACTCAACCACCAAAACACTACACAAATGACATAACTTTTAAAAAAAGATTTATTTATTTATGTATACAAAACTGTGGTATAGACCAGAGGTGTGGGGTTGCGGGTGAGGGGATGGTGGTGGTGAAAGGATTCACCAGAGACAGAGTAGGGAGCAGAAAAGGCAGACAGAAATACACTGCTGTGTATTCTGTGGGAGCAGTGGGTGAGACAGAAGAGGTCTGCCCCACTATGTGGGTTATCTCCTTGGCCAGGGATCAAACTCAAGTTGTAGTGCTTGGCGATAACTTGATAGTGCTGTATCTTTAAACTCTGCACCACCAGAGAGGTACACAAATGATTTAAGGTCAAATTTGTGATTGAGATTGTTAGAGGCTTAGAGTAGAAAATTTGGGATGGAGGCACCACAAGACCAGAAACTGGAGGTTGGGTTAGACATGACTAACATCATTATTAAACCAAATATAGAAATGAAGAATCTGGGCCTTTCTGGAAGCCTAGGGGTTATGTCTCAGCACTAGCAATGCTATACTGCTCCCCTTCATTTACTTCAGTAAGTTCACCTGTTCAGCTCCTGACTCTGTCTCTGGTGAATCCTCTCACACTTCTGGCCTACACCCCAGTTCTTCTACAAAAAAAAAAAAAAAAAAAAAGATATATTAAAAAAGTGAAACCCTTTTTCATGTTTTCCAACTGGCCTGGAGATATGGGAGTTGTCAGCCTTTACAAAGGACTGCTATCGGGCCCTCCCTGGTGGCGCAGTGGGTTAAAGCACAGCACTAAGAAGCTAAAGTCACTTCCTCATGAGTTCGATCCCTGCTTGCCCCGGAGGTGACCACATGGCGTGGCAGACCTCTCCTGACCCGCCCGCTGCTCCTCTCAGCAGTGCACTTCGTGGATCTGCCTGTTCTGCTTCCCACTGTGTCTTTGGTGAATCCTCTCACCCTCCACATCTCTGGCCTGTACCCCAGTTCCATATGAATAAATAAATAAATCTTTAAAAACAAACAAAGGACTGCTATAGAAAATATAAGTGGGTACCAGAGGTGGGATGTGGAGGACTAATGGCCTTAGAGACACCCTAGAAGTGGCTAATTTAATAATAGATAAAAATTTCACCAAGAAGTGAACTTCTCCCTGAAAAAGGAATCAATATATAGAACAACTTCTGCCCTAGCAAAATGCAGCTCTGTCCCAAGACTGCCCACCAGTGCCTATGCAGGTATCTCTTTTCTGTCCCTTTAAAAGCTGCAGCATTCAGTCCTCCCTGGTGGCGCAGCAGATTAAAACACAGCACTGAGAAGCTGAAGCCACTTCAGCATGAGTTCGATCCCCACCTGCCCTGGAGGTGACCACATGGCACCCAGACCTCTCCTGACCCACCCGCTGCGCCCCTCAGCAGTGTACTTCGACGATCTGCCTGTTCTACTCCCCACTCTGTCTCTGGTGAATCCTCTCACTGCCCCGGCACCTCTGGCCTTAAAAAAAAAAACAAAACAAAAAAAACTGTACCATTCTCTACCCACCTATGTCTGTGCTAGTGTCTTCTTTACCATTTTTTCCCCTAATAAGTCTGCCCTTGTTGGATACTTTGCCTATGTCTGTGCAAACATCTTTGTCTCCTGGATAAAACTGCTATGTATCACTGACAGGGGAACCCTGCCAACACTTTCCTCAAAGACAAACCAAGGACCCCACTCACTGAACCCCAACATCTCATCAGAACTCCATCAAGATCGCATTCTCAAAAACATAGTTCTCAGTATTTTATGTTTTGCCTAAGATCTCTTAGCAATTTCTAGCCAAAGCATCTCTCCCTTCACCTTCAGTTTATGACTTTGACTGTGTTGTGGCCAGAGTTGAACTGTGCTTTGGCCTCTTGCACCTGGGATCTCTGTGGAAAAAGCCAATGGGGGTGGGAAGCCTGGGCTCTCTCTAGCTCTACTACCACTTCTGTGCCCCTATTTTCCTTTCATAAACTAATTGCTTCATTTATAAAAAATGACCTTTTGTTGATAGGAGAGAATGAATGTCAGTGTGCTCTGAAAGCTATCATAAGCTCCCTAAATCCTAATTTTAAAAGGCACTACATAGATATTTAAATAAATTAAAGTGAATGGATAAAGCTTTAGTCATGGCCAGTTTTTTCTCTCTAAGAGCAGCCTTTTGAACCCCTGAACGTGGGGAGCTGGTCCTGTTATCAAGGATGACTCATTGACACAGTGACTTACTTGGCTTTGGTAAGCGCATGAGTGGGCACAGGTATTTTTGTTCCCTCTTGGGGGCCTCAATGCATCCTGACTCTTAAGAGTGAGTTAATTTCACTGTGTTTAAGGCTTTGGGTTTGCTATGTTTTTGCAATTCTCTAGTGAAGATGAGGAAGAGGAACAACAGTAGTCTCCAACCGGTCAGAAACAGTTACTAAGCTGTTAGTGAATATTAGTGAATATCAGATGGAGACATTCAAGACAGGAGGTCAGAAGGCCATTTGAAGTGGCAACACAAACCCAAAGCATCCTACTGTCTTTATGAGTTTTTCAACTGAAGTATATTTAACGTTTTTATAATTAATATATACCTGATGGTACATTTTGAAAGCATACTATGGTCCATTAACATTCCGAAAGGTTCCTGGGCCACTGTGTGCTCAGCACAACCCTGAAAGGGCTGTGCTTGCTGTGGTTGCTGAGGAAGGGAGTGGCCCGCTTCCAGCCAGCCTTCACTAGACTTTTTCTACTAGAGAAGTTCAGCTATCAGCTTTGGTTCACCAGGAAGGGAATAATTTTTATCTCGAATTCTACCTTATTGAGAAGTCTTGCCTTGAATCAAAGCCATTTTGGATAACTTGCTCTGGAATAAATTTTTGCCTTGCTTTACTTACTTGTGATCTCATTTGTCTTCTTAGAGACTATGTGGTTATCTCTCTAATAAATTCAATGACTGAACACTCATTAAAAGAAAATTAAAGGGGGGAAAGTTTTGATAAATCTAGCAAATCCTATGCCCATTTTTTATGTTCCTTTTTATGTCATTGGGCCTGATGATGGATTAACTAAAAAGTACAGTCACAAAAGCAGTTAACTCTCCTTTATGCTATAGAGACCATGAGGAGCTTAAATTCATTTCAATTGCCAAAGTGGAAACATCTTGTAATACACCTACAAGGTGCTCCGGTATCTAGCATGCCTAGAAAACATAGCTTTCCTAATTCTTCAGGGACTGCTTATGTGTAGAAATTTCAGTTTTAAATTCAGCCCATTAAAAACTTTTCTAAAGCAACCTACCTCTTATTATAAAATGTCAATGTATGAAGAAATAAGGATTCTATATACAGAATTTCAATTACATACAATTTTACTTTTCAGATAATTTTTATATCCAGAAAGCTATGTTTTAACCACTTCTAAAAGGTTAGCTACTATAAATTCAGCACTTTCTAATAATCCTTGGGTCAAAACAACTTTAATCACAGAATTAGAGTGTTTGAAGCTATATTACATTTTCTGAAACAGTTGCAAAACTCCTGGGTCTTTTGCTGTTTTTACAGGCTACTGTAAATGCGCTTTATAGCATCGGCTTCTTCTTTATCGAGGATGCCTTTTTCCACATAAACATCAGCTTGTTGGTTGATAAAGTCCCTCATCTTTGAAAGGTCATAATCTGGAAAATATCATTAAAGTATCATGAGCAAGGATCAGGAAAAAACAATCCCGTGACAGTGATTACCATTAGCTAAGAAGCATTTTGTTCAACAAACACCACAATTACCATCCCCATTTTTCATTCTGGAAGACATTATGAGTTCTTGGCATTTGTGCAGTGCTTTGCAGTTTCAAATCAGGTTACATGTATTATATTACCTCATATGGTATTCCTCATAATGCAGTGATTGATTAGTCATTTGACCTCAGGGCTTGTGGAGCAAGGCTTTTGCAAACTATATAGACCAATGACCTGGGGTAGATTTACATTCAGTATGTCTAGGACTGAGTCTGCATTTTAAATAAATACCCAGGAATCACACTTGGCATTGTTGGGGGTGACCAAATGCAGAGATTTTCTGATTGGACTGCATAAGGGCAGTAATAAATTAGACCTTGCATCCAAGGGTGATAAGGCAGTAATAAACTGGGACTTGCATCCAGAATGGGACTAGATGAAGGTGATAATGAACTGGGCCTTACATCAAGGGACACAGTGATGAGTCACCCCTTTGGAATCTGAGCTTAGAATCTATATAAGAGACCCTTCCCCCTATAGGGCTGGCAGTAGCTGCGGACCCCACTCTAGGGGCTCCATCTCAGCTGCTGTCCGGGAGCAATAAACTCTGCTTGCTCAGCCTTTCTGCCTCCCATCTCTCTTTCTTGCAGCCCGTCACAGAGGTCGGGGCAAAACAGGCATAAAACAAGATCCTAAGGTTCAGTGCCTTATTAAAACTCACACAGGTAATAAGAGATATGAGAACTTCCTGAATTTATTACACTGGTTAAATTCATGTTCTTTTTTACAAATTAAGAATTAGCTTGATTTTTCAGCTTGAATTATATGCATGAAGCAAAACAAACATAACCTCTTTATAGCTCCTGTCCTCCTTTAATAAAAGTATGTAAATCATCAAAATAGCCAATATAAACAAAGTCATCCCCCCAACTTAAGAGCTGTCTATGGCATCTGCCTGAAGGCTTAAAAGGACAAGAACCCCAAACCCATATTATCCCTTGATTCTTTAATTATTATATATTCATTGTTTTAAAACATGGAAAATGCAGAAACATAAAATCTAAATCACCTGAAGTCTATTAATCAGAGATAATCACAGGCAGTACTTTGTTCTCTTTTCTTGTAGCTGTTCAACTATATCTGTTTCACCCCGGAACTGAGATCAATATACACACAACTTCAGAACTAGGGCTTTTCACTGTACACACACGCAGTAACAATCTCAGCAGCACCATTTTTAATGGCTACACACAATATAGCCGACAGGGAGACTAAAAGGTAAGACACATATGCCCCCATGTTTGGACCTGTAGAGCTTCCCCACCCCCCACACCGCCCCCCAGGCACTTCTGGGGAAACCCCTTTAGGCTCTGTGTTGCCTGAGGCTGAGTTCCTTGAAGACAGTGTAGTTCCCCTTGGCTACTGGCAGGCCCCTGGAGTGGCCCCTCCCCCCACCTTTACGTGGACTGAATGTAATTGGAAATCAGGTCACGTGGGCATCTTTCCGCTCCTGCACGGGAGTAGAACTCAGAACCAGGGATGGCAGAAACCAGGTGTTGGTCATATCCAGGGGAGCTGACATGTAGAGAGCCGTTTCTGTCCTTGCCACCCAGGGGAGCAGTTGCTTCCATCAGGGCATGGCCATGGGGATTAAAGACAGAACTGTTACCACGAGCACTTTACAACCACACCTTATCTGCTCTTCACAACACCCCAGGAGGTAAGCATTAATGACCCCTGCAGAGACAGGAAAGATGAGTGGTGGTACCTTTTTTTTTTTTTTTTTTTCACTTTCTTTTCTCTTGGGCACAAACCAGAATCATCTCAAGGTGTGTTTTGTGTGCACACCATGAGCTGATTCCTGACTGACTTAGAGAGCAGACTGACTTTATCATCACTGCCTCAGATTAATACTGGCTTTTCGTAAAAGGTCACAGGATCAGCATCTCTAGTGGAATAAAAGCGGACTTCTCAGAGGTGAAGAAGTCCAGGTGATTTGAATGAGCAAAGAGGACAATATTTTCCTATCTTTGGAAATAGGAAGCTTATATTTTTTTTATACAGCTATCTGTATACAGCTATCTGTTGTACCTAGTGCAAAGGATGGGCTGTTTGAGTGAGCCCTGTTCTTCCCTCGCTGCTGTTAGTGTATATGTGGGTTCCATGAAAAACAGTTTCTCAGACTGTTTTTTTGCCATAACCTTCAAGCACTGGGGGCCTAGTAGAAGATAACACGCCGCCTTTGATGTAGTCTGTATATGCTTGATATGTAGTTCGCATGAGTTAACTTATTTAACCAGGGCATAAATTTGGCCGAGGCCAGCTTTGTCTATAAATCATATAAAAGTTAATAGGGTTCCTGGTCGGGGTGAGGTTAGTATATCTACACTAACATACTCTAAAACCCATGGTGGGTTTTAAAAATATTGATGCTTGGGTCTTGCCTCTCAAGATTCTCATTGAGTAGTCTTGGGGTGCAAGCTGGGTGTAAAGAAATGTAGAAACTCCACAGGTTACTTGAATGCATTGTAAGTTGGAGAAACATTGCTCTTATCCTAAGCATCACCTTGCACCTGCTCTGGCCAGAGGTAGGAACAATGCTGATTCCTCCCTCTCCATGGAGTTCTTATGTTTCTCCCTTCCTCTTTATTTCCTCTGCCTTGAGAGAAAACCCCATTCTTTCTGCTCTAGATCCTTGCCTCTTATCTCTCTCCGGGGTCTTTTCAATTCTTTTCCCCAAATCTGTAACCACACTGCTGCCTGATGGATTTCTGAAGTCTTAACCTAATTTCAGATCTTCTGGCTAAAACTAGCCCCCTTTGCAGAGTGCAAAGCCTCTTCTTGACCTGGGGCTACACACTTTCCCAGCCTGACACCCAGCCCTCCCAGGGAAGTGGAATGGCTCTAGATTCCTGGAACTCATCACTTTCTTCTGTCCCTTCATGCCTCAGCCCCCATGATCCTCTGCCTCCCTCTCGCCTCATTTACCCTTCCAGCAAAGGCTTTCCTTGCAACCTTTCCCCCAGGCTACGTCCAGGTAAGATGTGCTCTTTGCTCACCTCTTTACACTACCACACACAGATATGTACACTTTGCACACATCTATGACAGCACTGGCCACTCGTAGTGTTGTTGATGACTGTTGAAAGTGACTAGGCAGGATGTGGGAGACAAGCTGGGGGCATATCTTACTGTCCTTCACTTTTCTCACACTCTAAACAGTGTGGTTCTGTGTTAGTGATTGCAAGGACCCTCTAGAAAGTGCTCAGAGAATGTCTTTGTTTAAAATACTCCAAGAACGGGGCAGTGACTAGATGAAATAAGGTTGGCAAATGTTAATTAATGGGAGTGGATGATGGAACCATGGGTATTCAATATATTATTCTCTCTACCTTTGTTTGACATTTTCCATGATAAAATGTTAGTCTTATTTCATAATAAAATAAAAGCTTTTACTTGAAAGGCTGATTTGAAAAATAAGAGAATTAGAGCTCCTGCTTCCTTCTGCCTCGGAGAGGTGCTTGCGGTTTCTCTGTGCTCTCAGAGGAGACATTAGTACAATTTGTGTCAATCAGAACGAATCTCTAACAAATGAGTGAGGCTTACAATTTATAACCACACTAATTTCATTACCTTCTTTATTTCCTTTTTTGTTGTGTTTCTTCAACCACTCAATGTTTTTTCTAATGGCTTCCAAATAGGCTTCTGTTTTTCCTAGAAAAGACAAAAGAACCTATGTCAAATGCTCATAAAGTGTTTGCTTTGGCAGCACATATCCAAAAATATACATAAAATATTGTATTTCTTTTAAAAGGTCACTCTTGTTTAAAGTCACAAGCTAACACTGGATTTACAGAGCACTTGTGAGGTGATATCCCTAAGGAGGTGGTATATATATTTGTAGGGGGGAGAAAGGGTGGGAGGAAAGTTAAGGAGAATGGGTGAGAATAAGACTCCAGGAGTCAGGAGCTAGCAGGTTAGTGTCAAGAAACCAATATCCCCACACACAAATCACCACAGTGGTAGGGACTGGCGAGCATTTGTTTCAGGTCACTGGATGGTAGTGTCCCCATAATTCTAGACTGCACTGTTTTTGACTAGGAATTTTTCTTCCATACCAAGGAGCAGTATCAGATCAAGAAGGGAATCAGAGTGACAGATACAGTCACATTTCAGAAATATTGCTGGTCTGGTTTCAGACAACTTCAGTTAAGCAAATGTTGCAAGAAAGTGAATCCAACAGTACTTTTTGTTTCCCTGTACATGAAAAAGTTATGTTATACTATATTGTATTAAGTGTGCGATAACATTATGTCTGAAAATCCAATGCATATACCTTAACTTAAAAATAATTTATTGCTAAAAAATGCTAGTCACCATCTGAATCTTTAGCACTTGGAATCTTTTTGCTGGTGCAGCAGTATTTTATTTTTAAACTGCAATCATATAGTAGATTAGTAATACGATTAAAAGAAAAGATCATGGATTTTTAAGTCCTCAAAACGTGTATTTTCTCATAATACAAGTGTTCTTTTTTTTGTAATCAGGGAGAAATATCCATTCTGTTACTTTAATTTTTTCTTATGAGACTCCATTACTTTATCAGTGTCTATTTTAAAAATTATTTTTATTGAGGTAATATTAGTGTACAGCATTTTATATAATTTACAGGTACTTCAGATGTATGTTACCATATGGCACCCACAATCAAGGAACCCCCTCCACAGTTAGCTCTCCAGCTTCTCCTTCTGGTAGCTTCAAATTTTCAGTAAGATTTCTAGGTTTCAGGGGTCTCCTTGGTGGCACAAGGGGTTAAAACACAGCATTATGAAGCTATTGATCTCTGGCCAGGGAGGTGACCCACATGGCACAGCAGACCTCTCCAGTCTTGCCCTCTGCTCCGCTCAGCAGTGTATTTCATCAGTCTATTTGTTCTGCTTCCCACTGTGTGAATAACCTCAGCCATCCACCCCCAATACCTCTGGTCTGTATCCTAGTTCTTGTGTGCATAAATAAATAAATAAATAAATAAATCTTTTCAAAAAACATTTCTAGGTTTCAGGTAGGTTTTTTCCCTCTGTATTTCAACACATTAGTGAGAACAGTTGTTATTTGTCTGTGTGCTTCCAGCTTACTTTTCTTAACATAATCCTCTCTAGTCCCATCCATCTTTTTAAATAGCTGAGTAGTATTCCATCGTGTATGTATACTACACCTTAATCCACTCATCTGCACTTGGGTACTAGGATGTTTCTATAATTTGGCTATTGTAAATAGTGCTGCAAAGAACATTGGTTTGAGTATGTCTCTTCAAATTAGTGTTTTTGCATTCTTCATGTAGATCCCAAAGAGTGAAATTTCTAGATCACATGGTAAATCTATTTTTAATATTTTGAGAAACTTCTATGCTATTTTCCATATTTGTCTACATTCCCACCAGCAATTCATGACAGTTCCTTTTTCTCCACATGATATGGGCCATATTACAGGTATGGAGGTAGTGATCATTGTGATTTTGATTTGCACTTCTGTGATGAATGATGGTGAGCATTTTTTCGTATCTCTGTTAGCCATCTGTTTGTCTTTTTTTAAAATTTGTACACACAATAACTAGGATCTAGGCTGAAGGTGCAGGGATGCAGGTGCTGAGAGGATTCACCAGAGACAAAGTGGGGGAGCAGAATAAGCATCTACTGAAATACACTGCTGAGGGGAGTAGTGGGAGAAAGAGGAAAGGTCTGCTGCTCCATGTGGGTCAGCTCCCTGGCTGGGGATCGAACTTATGCTGAAGTGGCTTTAGCTTCTTTGTGCTGTGCTTTAACCCGCTGTGCAACAAAATGATGTATGTATGCCTTTTAAAGATAGTCTACCATATAGTCATGTTAAGTAAGTACAAATTCATGGCATTGCTTAAGACACTAAGCAAATCTTCTGCTCAGTCAGGTAAGGAGTGTGTAAAAATTCAGGAGAAAAAAATAACCAGGCCATATTTTAAGGTTGGATGGTAAGTTTAGAACTTGTAAAACTCCCCAGAAGGTAAACTTTCTCTGGTGGGCTTTAATTGTGTCCAGAGAATACCAGTTCAGTGATGCCTTTTAGATATGTCTTTGCCTGCAAGTAGGAATTACCTTCAGCATAGAGATCAGGAAATTAACCTTCAAGACCTAGGAAATAATGAAGTTGGAATTTGAATTCTGATCTTGCCAAATTTTTGCTGCCTGTACTATTTGAAAGATAAGCCCTGTTTGTGGACAAAACACTGCTATAACCTTGTTCTGTTTCAAGGAAATCAACCTTTTCTTTAACTAGGTGAAGTCCCTACTGCTCAAGGTGTCTGGAACTAGAACTAGGTAGTTTGCAATGTGTTAGATGACCTAAGTCTTCAACACACAGGGCCTCTGCAGAAGCAAAGGCTGCCAAAGCTCAGTTAATCACCAGCCGCAAAATCCTTTGAGCCTTGCTGCCTGTAGTCACCTGTCTACAGCTCTTCAGCTACCTACATAGTGTACTTAGTCTGTGCTATGGGCTATGCTTTGTACTTAAAAATGTATTATCTCGGCCCTCCCTGGTGGCGCAGCGGGTTAAAGCACAGCACTGAGAAGCTAAAACCACTTCCGCATGAGTTCGATTCCCGCCTGCCCGGGAGGTGACCACATGGTGCAGCAGACCTCTCCTGACCAGCCCGCTGCTCCCCTCAGCAGTGTGCTCCGTTGATCTGCCTGTTCTGTTCCCCTCTCTGTCTCTAGTGAAGCCTCTGACCACCCCTGAGCCTCTGGCCTGTACCCCAGTTCTGTATGCACAAATAAATAAATCTTTAAAAAAAATGTATTATCTCTTTTACTTTTCAAAACAAACTTTGGAGGTAGTCTTTTCTCATTCTCATTTGATAGATGAATAAACTGAATCATAGGATATAATAACATCCAAGACTTGGCTAGTAAATAGTAGAACCCAGCTTGAACTTGAGCACTTGATCGCAGCCCATGGATGATAATGCTGCCCTAAGATTGGCCAATGTTCTCATTCCACCACTATGGTTTTTTTTTTTTTTAATACCTTTTCTTTCTTTCTTTTTTAAAAGATTTATTTATTTTTGCGTACAGAACTGGGGTTTAGGCCAGAAGTGCAGGGGCAATGAGAGGATTCATCAGAGACAGAGTGGGGAGCAGAACAGGCAGGTTGACAAATACACTGCTAAGGGGAGCAGCGGGAGAGACAGAAGAGGTCTGCTGCGCCATGTGGGTCAGCTCCTTGGTCCTGGATCAAACTTATGCTGAAGCAGCTGTGGCTAGCTTTATAATGCTGCATTTTAACCTGTTGTGCCACTAAGGAGGACCCTCTCCCACTGTGTTTACCTAACTGACATCTTTCTTTCCAATTATATGCCCACTCTTGCCTCACCACTGGGGTGATATGTTATCCGAGAAACACAGAAAAGTTTTTGTGCACAAAGTGGTAAGTGGAACAGAGTCACAATTTTTAGCTATTAACTTTAATAGCCTGTGTAGAAAAAGCCTCAATTTCAGTGCTTTCTTTTTAAGAATATTAGTAAGTGCAAGACCAATGTT